TGGAAAGAGGGGGGGGGGAGTTGCGTTGAAAATATTTTTTACTTTTTTGTTTTAACAAACCTTTCTATTTGTTAAAAATGGTTTTTATTCATGTGATGATCTTCATTTATTTATCATACTTTTAGAGGAAAGTTTGCCTTGTCTATTTATCCACCTATCTATTTATCTATCTATTAAATTCTTTATCTATTTAACTTTCTATATTTATCGAACAATTATTTTTTCTTACATATTAATCTAGCCATATATCAATCTATCTATTTATCAATTTATCTATCGATCTATGTATATCTATTTAACTAAATATCTATATGTCTATCCAACTATCTATATAATTATCTATCTATATTTCCAGGGTGAGGATATTGGTTTGGTTGGAGAAGATCTCATCTTTGGATCTCAGTTGATAACTGAGCAGTCTCAGGGTTGTGGGTTCCCTGGAGATAGAATCCGTATCCCTCAATCCTTCCTGAAGAACCTAAACCTTACTCAGGGTAGGTGGGGGAACCTGGGCAAACTCTTTCTCAAGGAGTGGTCAAAATACAGATACGGAGTCTTTGACGATTCTGGATTTCCGGGTGATGTCTTGTATCCGGCTCACGTGAGCTATCTGGACCGAATCTACCCATCCGGGAGCAGCAATGCGATGCTCCGCGGCTCCTGGTTTTACACAAACAGTTCAGAAAATTGTGATCCGCGTTACAACGAATGTTATTTCTCTCCGGAGCCAGGAAGAAACGATCAGGTGACTTGCTCAATCAGTTTCCTTCCTTTCCTCCCGAGCGTGAAAGATTGGTGTGAACCAGAACAGATTTCCACCCCCATTGGTCCAACAAAACACAATGTTCTGTGTAACGGAAAATCAGTCCATCAAGTGATAAATTCCCACCCCGACTTCAAAACAAGCAGAACAGGAAAGGTGGAGCTGGGCGAAACCAAATACAACATCATCCGTCAACCTCCCCCCCAGTATGTCGTTGTATTAGAAACATCGGCTTCTATGGCCGGGGTTTGGAAGTGGGTTCGGAAAGCGCTGCAGAACTTGATCAAGTTTGAGCTCCCGGACAACTCCAGGGTTGCAATTGTAACCTTCAACAAGGAGGCGAGGGTAGAGCAGAATTTATCCATCCTAACCTCGGAGCAGGTTCGGATACGGGTAGCTGATGCTATCCCTGATAGTCCAAACAAACTGAGTAGGTTTGAGGATAGATGTGTGAGCTGTGGGGTTCAGATCGCCATGGATCAGGTTCTTAGAACAAGGGAGGCCGGGGGACATATTATTATCATCTCCCAGGGGGATGTTAGGACCTTGAGCAGCTCTGACGAGACGATTATCTCCGGGTATGAGAATAAACACAATGTTAGGATAAGCAGTGTTCTCATTCCTATTTCAGGGGTGCCTGTTCCCTTCTATCAGAACATAGCGGAGATATCGGACGGACGGTTTCAAACCATCTCTGAGAATAAGGTTGGTATCTACGCTCTCTCTGATCTGATCCTATCCTTGAGAAGGATTGTGAGCGTGGACGGACAAGTTCCTGAAAACGTTCTTGTAGATAAACTCAGTAAACCTGGAGGAACCGTCCTAACCCAGGGAGAGTTTCTTCTTGATTCGACTCTGGGACGAGAGACGAGATTCGGAGTGTTTGTTGAGGACGACGAAGATCATAAAATCAAATCCATCAAACTGACGGACGATACGGGACGAATCTATGGTCCGTACACAAAGATGTCGTCGGACTATGATATTATCAACTTTAAGACGATTAACTTCAAGGTTGGAGACCAACACCCATTTCAAGAGGTAATATTCTGGTTCTGGGTTTTTGAAAAAAGGTGCTTTTTGGGATAATTTATTTCAAGAAAAATAAAAACAATGTTAACCAACCCTTTAAAAAATTGAACGAAAAGTAATTTTTCGATCGTACCCTATTTTAAATATCACAACTCTTCCCTTTAAAGAATATAATTCGTGATATTAAAATATATCTGACTCATCCTATGGTGTGTATTATGTACTTATCATTTCCGTGTCACAAAGCTGGAGTTCTATCAGAACTTTATCATCAATTAATAAAGATTTTGTTGACAAAGTAACATTGGATGTAAAGGAGTTATATTATAGATAATATTTTTTATGCAGGGTGTCCCAAAAAAAGGATTTGAATAAAAAATGTTCGAAAAAGACTTCCACCTGCAGAATTAAAAAATGTATGCCTGAACCTTTATTTAAAAAAGCTACACGAATTATACAGTGAGAACCAGAAAACTCTGGAATAGGAAGACGACTTTTAGACTCAAGTTATGACTCTAAATAGTCTAAAGAGCATGAGACGCAGCAGTTGTTGCAGTGTAATACAGATATTTTTTACTTAATAATTGATTTTAAAACTTTAGTTACTTAATATTTGATTTGTAACAACATCAAATCACTTAAAGGGAGTGACCGGCAATGTATGCTAGTTGAACTGAGAATGTAGTATTGTGGAGACATTTTTAAAGAATCATTTGAGACCTACGAGACGTTTTTATGGTGCATATTTGTTCAGCAAGAGCGTAAATTCAATCTTTGAAATTTGGAATTTTAATTGAAAAGACGACATTTGAAGAATTTGAAGAAATCTCCGAATAAATTCATAAAGAGTAAGAATTTCGATATAATGATAAAAAAATAATTGATTCTAACATTGATTTATTGAGAAAAATTTAAATAAGAAATATGTTCCTAAACATTTAAATAGAATTCTCAAAACGTAACCACCCAAATGAATGATTTTGAACGTCGGCTTAGCGCTCAAACTCAGTAATTATACTTCACCAAAACGTTTAATAATATGTCTCAAATGAATCCTAAAACATTTCTCCACAATACTGCATTCTCAGTTCAACTACCATACATTGCCGGTCACTCCCTTTAAATATTGCTTTAATATCTTATTCCTATTCTACAGATTTTTGATTTTCATTGTAATCCCTCTTTTTTGGGATATTTAGCTCGTTTAAAGGTGTTATTTTGTATTTATTTATTGGTTCTTTTACTTTGTTTCTATCTATTCTAAGCAGGGAACTTTTGATTTCTGGATATCGGGATTAATGCTTGATCCACTTTTTTTCTTTATCTCGAGATTAAATAATGCTTGTTCTCCTCTTGTTATTAATCTCCAGATTAATTAACGGATCGGGATTAAGGATATCCCATTCAAAAGTTTTCAGCTCTGGGCATTTAAAACTGCTTAATTCTCATATAGTTTATTTGAGCTTGAAATAGTTTAGATGTTAATATAATGCTAATTATGAAGGTTGGAAGAAGATGGTTTTATGAGATATCTTGGTTCCCTGAGAGAAAATCCGTCAACAATGTTATTGTTGTGACGAGCAAACAAAGGTTTCACTTTAGATTATTCTCAGCCCCCCCCCCCCTCCCCTTTTTTATATTTTTTTATGACACCGCCTCTGTTTAATTAACAAAGGAGAGGAGGGAATCTAGCTGGTTTACGCTGTATAGTTATGTATTAATGATGCAGCTTAGAAATTATTTTTCATTTAAACAATTTATCGAAATTCCTTGGCAATGAAGGATGTCCTGGACAATCACTGTTTTCTAAATTTTGTCTGTTTTTAATATAACCAGGGAGTAAGGAAAAGAAAGGAGATAGAACTGATGTGGCCCGCCCTACCATATGATTATTCATGCTTTGCAGACGGGTACTCCATTTGTATAAGAAATATTCAGAATAGGTTATTGTATACGCGGTAATTGTACATCAGACAAATATGTTTTATTCAAATGAAGTACCGTCTGCAAAGCATGTATAATCATATGGTAGGGCGGGCCGCGTCAGTTGTATCTCCCTTCTATTCCTTACTCCTTGAATAAAACTACCATAGTAGAATGTGAAAAATAAATCCTCTTTTGCTTCATATCAATTATTTTAGATGTTCTTTTTATATTGCTGCAATTTTACACTTAATCAACCATCTCTTAATCTAATGAACATTTTTTATGATTGCATTGTATCCATTTTGTAATTAGCTTATCTTTTTATTTATCCATCAAAGTTTAAATCTTTTCAACAATTTTTTAAAGTTCTGTTTCTTTAAAGGAATAGTTGAGAAATATTCATATACAATCCATATTTGAATATTGAAAAATTATGGCCATATCTTTTTCAACCTTATTGATATATAATAGATATCCCAATATTTTCATGGATTTTTTTCAAACCTCGATATAAACGTAGATTTCTTGTTGATCTAGGAACCCTGACACCAGTTCACATCTTGAGACTAAAATATGGATTTCTCCAACATTTCCCTACAATATCTTCTGCAGGGTAGGTTTTTCAGTGTTTTTTTTTATCTTTTATTTTATTTTATTTATTCATCGATCCGCATATTCATCCCTTAGTTTTTCCATTAGTTTCATATTAATGTATTCATTTTATATTCATTTAGATATTATTTTTTCTCTTTTTTAATTCTTTATTCTTTTAATGTATAGTAGGGTTTTTCTTGTTTTTATATCTTTTAGATTTGAATATATCAATGAATGAATATAGAGATGAATGAATAAAGGGATAAATGAATATAGGAAGGAATGAATATAGGGGTTAATGAATATATCAATGAATGAATATAGAGATGAATGAATATAGGGATGAATGAATATAGGGAGGAATGAATATAGGGATTAATGACTTAACTTGAAATAAATTTAAGATTGCATCATTTCGTTCTTTCAATAATTTCATATTAACATATATTTTTTATACTCAATGCATTCTTAAAATCGTTCATCTATTTATTCATTCATATTCATTTATTCATTTTCACGTTGATTTATTCATTTTCATGTTGATTTATTCATTTTCATGTTGATTTATTCATTTTCATGTTGATTTATTCATTTTCATGTTGATTTATTCATTTTCATGTTCATTTATTCATTTTCATGTTCATTTATTCATTTTCATGTTCATTTATTCATTTTCATGTTCATTTATTCATTTTCATGCTCATTTATTCATTTTTATGCTCATTTATTAATTTTCATCCTCATTTATTCATTTTCATGTTCATTTATTCATTTTCATGCTCATTTATTCATTTTCATGTTCTTATCTACCGAAAGAAGTTTATTTTTCATTCCAATCACAAAGCTTTAATTAGTTGAAACTGTTATTTATTAATTTTCATGTTCATTTATTCCTTTAATTTATCGATTTTTTGTTAGTTTATGCATTTCAGTAATTTTATCTGAGCTGAAAACTTTTATAAGTTATTAAATATTGCTTGTTCTCCACATGAATTTAAACTCCAGTTTAATTATTCGACGGGATATCTGGATATTTCATTCTAAAGTTTTCAGCTCAGGATACATATTAGAAATTTAAACATTTTTGTTGATATCAATAACTCTTTAAAAGAAGGAGTTATGATTTAAAACATGTAATATTTCAATGTTCAGGTCCGGATGGGTGATCAGGCTGTTCATGATGTACGTGTTGACTTGAACGCGAGTTATGTGCGCGTAGATGGAGGAGTTGACCTACTCGGCAATATACAACTACTAGATGATGGTGTCGGAGGTAGAAACAGTTTCATAAATATCTCTTAAAATAATAGCTAATTAGAATTTGTAAAGATGTTACTTTTCAAAATCAAATATTATTTTAATTTGCTTGTCTGCTTGTATCCAATAAACGTCAAAACGGCAGAACCGATCAGGTCCAAATTTTGAATGGGACCTCACATCACCCCAGGAAAGGTTTATGGATGCTCAGAATTAAAATATTTATTTTCTTAAAATTTTGAAAATCCACGAAAAATAAATTGTAAATCCGCAAAAAACAATTATTATTGTTTTATCGAATAGAAAATACTGAAAAATTTATTAACAGTTGTAATAGATAATGGGCGCGAAGCGCCTTGACAGCATTGCATTTTTAGAAGCAAAATATAATTTTGTTTATTACCATGACGTTTTTAATTGATTTAAAACAATATGCCGGGGATTAGAGAAAGCTTTTTTAAACATCCATTAATGCTATACTATATTAGATATATTTTTGTTTTATCTATCTATCTATCTATTCATCTATCTGTAAAATTATCTAACTATCTATGTTTAGACCCTGATCTGCAAGCTGGGGACGGAATCTACTCCAGGTCTATCTCCTGGTCTCCAGGTCCTGGTTCAATCCTTTTTTCTCTAACCATCTCCGATAACAAAGGTCAGGCCTACATCGTTACTCCGGGTCCATCTATTATCAGCCAGCCGGAGAATCTTCAGCTCCCTGTCTGTTGTGGATCCAGGATTGATATCCCGGAGTCAAGAAGGAAATATCTAGGATTGTTTCAACGGAATTATTCTCTCAGCGTAGGGTCTATAGCAGGCGGAGAGATTGATATAATCCCTCCAGGAAAGATTGGAGACTTGAACGGTGTTTTGAAGGACGGATTTTTCTACATGAACTGGACTGCTACTGGGGGAGATCTTCAGGACGGACAGACGGACGTATACAGGATATACTTCTCCAACAACATCTCAGAACTGATACTAGGTCAGGGAACGGATTTTGTAGAATTCACACAGTACGATATGGTTGGAAGCCTAGCTAACTACAGCATGAGTGTGCAGGACAGATCAGGGTCGCTCTATGTGGGAATGAGAGCAGGAGATCTGTCAGGAAACTATGGGAAACTATCCAACCTTCTCCTGGTTGAGTTAGGAGAGGAGGGGGGTGTAACGCTTCCCACCCCCGGAGAATCCAATGGTTCCAGTGACTGGTCACTTATCGGCATCATTCTTGGAGTTATTATAATCCTTGTGCTTTGTCTTATTGTCCTCGTGGTCTCTGTCATCTGTGGGAAAAGATCCCGAAGACTAAAAACAAAAACCAAATCTAGCGGAGTTAATGTTCATATTCCCAGTCCTACTAGATCTGATGCTACGGATGTGAGCTATGACTCTGACCACCAATTAGTTCCGACCATGTCCAAACCTCCCTCAAGTACCAGCTTCGCTAACAATCTGACACCGACATACTGGAGCGCTTCGCAACTACTCTCCGAGCACGAGCAAAGAACCGGTTCCTTGGCTCGTAAGCCAATCAAGGAGCAATACATTAACACAAACAACAATGGTGTCTACAACGGGTATACAATAACACCACTGAGTAACAAAACCTCTATTTATGGATCACCTAGTGAATACGGAGCTTCGGAGTACAGTCGTGGAAACACCTACGGTCAGCATGGTACATACGGTACATACATGGAACCAACTAATGATGTTGACTACGGTACAGTTGTTGTTCCACAAAACCTGGACGAGTTCTCACACCTAGACTACGGGGTGGTGACGCAGTCCGAGGGAGACTACGGCAGCGACCTGGTGGATGAGGTGATTGACCCCGTGAATAGATCTACAGGTTTCAACGTCAGTGATGTATCCTCCTCCACCCTACCCATGTTCAATCAGTCCCTCAGGGGATCTCTCATCTCGCTTAGCTCCGCCAAAAAGAAGAACATCACTCAAGTCTAGGATTTGTTAATCCAGAGCTCGGAAATTTTAAACTGCCGCTAATTTAACCCTCTAGCTGAATCCTATAGAACTAATTCAACCCTCTGGCTGAATCCTATAGAACTTAATTTATCACTCGGACTCTTAAAGCCAGGATGAAATTATTCAAATGACAAGTGATACAAATGATAAACTGAAATTATGGTTTAAGTAATAATGCTAGTCACGGCCAGTTACAGGGTAAAACAATAAAAGATCATGAATTATACAGATTGTTTAAAATTGTCAAAAGATTCTGTACAATGATTCATTGATGCATTGTACATTGTACCTAAGTCGATGTAAAGAAGATAATATTGCAAAGAGCTTAACGCATTTTCATTCGTTACAGGGTGAACAATAAAAACTACTATTTTTCACCCTGTTCATTATATTCTCTACGTGCAGGTAAACCCTTGTAAAATGTAAAATATCTAATTATGAATATGTGATGTTTTATAAGATTATAGTTAGTTAATAATTAATAAAAAAACTGTGATAATTAAATAGATAAAATTATTTTAATTTTGAATATTAAAATAAACTTTTGAAAATTGTATTTGATGAATGTAAATTGTATCCGTAGAAAAAGACGTTTTTAAACCGATATTTATAAGCTCAGAATGTTTTAATATAAATTCACTTGAAAGGATTTTAAGTTAAAAGGAAAATGAATTTTTAAAAACCTTGATATTTTAACCAGTTTTTTTCCATTTTCTTTTTTTTGGGGGGGGGGGTGAGCTCTCGGAATTGTTTATATCATAGTTTATACTAGTGTATTATATTGAAGGAAATTTGCTGATGCCTATATATTTGCAATCTGATATGAATAAACCTTTCTTTAAGATTTCAAACTTAGATGATTTGATCTAACAGAGTTCAAATCTTGACATATCTACGGTCTGCGACATTGGGTTGCAAAGATATACGTATTTGAAAATCAGAGTTTGTGGCAAAAATTCAATTCCTTTAGTTCATAGAAGTTCTAAAATACGCCACAGTCAATGTGTTTACAGCCTCACATCTCCTCTTACCTTTAGTATACAATCCATGGTCAAATAAATGTCACAAGAAAGGGACGCAACCCTGACCCTTTAGTAAAAGTAAATTCAACCCAAAGTCTGACCGCGTCAACCTTGTTGCATCCGGCTAGTCCTATTGAGTGTCTGCGTTATTTACCCAATGTCCGGGCGATACAGTACAAACTGGGACCGGCCGGAAAGGTTGACCCGGCTCGGAAATTCAAATGTACAACGGCTGCCCGTGAAGGGATTATTCATTTGGCCTACTGTCCCGGTTTGTTTTACACATTCGGTTATTTTGCTGTACAGTGTACTGTACAGCTTGCTCTAGTCAGCCCGGTACTTGAAATGAACCGGAATTTTCAGTGTGGTTTCTGCAATGCAGAAAAATGTATAACATTTTACATGAAAAATTGATTTTAGTTTCCCCGAGAATAGGCGGGGGGAGGGGGTTAGCATTTGACTCCCCGAACTATCCAACTATCTATTTGTATATACTTCTCTAATTGTCCCAAATATCCAACTATCTAGTTGTATATGATTCTCTTATTGTCCCAACTATCTATCTATCCAACTATCCAACTTTAAAACTATCTAACTTTCTAACTGTCTAATTATCTAACTATCCAACTATCCAACTATCTAACTATCTAATTATCCGACTATCCAACTATCCAACTATCCAACTATCCAACTATCCAACTATCCAACTTTCCTACTATCCAACTATCCAACTATCCAACTATCAAACTATCCAACTATCCAACTATCCAACTATCCTACTATCCAACTATCCAACTATCCTACTATCCAACTATCCAACTATCCAACTATCCAACTATCCTACTATCCAACTATCCTACTATCCTACTATCCAACTATCTAACTATCCTACTATCTAACTATCCAACTATCCGACTATCCAACTATCCAACTATCCAACTATCAAAATCTAACTATCTAACTATCCAACTATCCAACTATCCAACTAGCCAACTATCCAACTAGCCAACTAGCCAACTAGCCAACTATCCAACTATCCAACTATCCAACTATCCAACTATCCAACTATCCAACTATCCAACTATCCGACTATCCAGCTATCCAACTATCCAACTATCCTACTATCCAACTATCCTACTATCCAACTATCCAACTATCCAGCTATCCAGCTATCTAACTAGACAAATAAATAAATGTACCGGTTACTACATTGTTATTTAACAAGCTGAACTTCCTGAAATACTGAATACATTATTTAAACCTGAACAACGAACATATTGCTTCATTTAACAATGCTATAAAATAATCATTTTCTTTAAGTATGTCAAGCCAAAATTCGTAAAATTGTAGTATTGTAACAGTAATCACATTTACGCATTTTGAAAAATCGAATTGTAAAATAATTATCGTAAGTATTTAAAAAATTTATTTTTAATTTTTAATCTAAATTGTAGAAATGAAGATTATTTTATTTATTGGTTTCTTATATTAACGGTCAAAATATTTCAATGTCTAATTTTAAATATTTAGTATAGAAGTGTTTTAATGTTCAAATTTTCAAGTGTCAACTTCTTACTTTGATTAATCTCTAATTAAATAGCTATTATTTATAGTATATTAACTGTCTAAAGTAGCTCGAACCGTCTGACTCTATAACTTTTAAGATGCACAACCAGTATGACAATATATATATTTGTCTCAACCATACATTACATATAGAAAATAAAATATTTTTTAAACATATTTATGAAACTTGAGACGGGGAGGCATTGTAAGCCAGGGGCTGCTTTACACATCAGCCCCCCACTGGAGAGTCAGTTCTTGCAATGATGCTGACTTGAAGAGGTGATGCTGGATATCATGCTGCTCATGGGATGGAGGGAGCTGGAGCTACTGGAGAGGATACAGTTCGTAAACGTACAGGAATCCGTCAAGAAGAGGTTGGGTACCTTCTTTCTCGGGGTGGAACACATAAAAATAAATAAGAGTCAAAGGCAGGAGCTAGATCAATCTGACTTCTTAACTATTTAACTATTTATTAATCTGACTTTATAACTATCTAACTATTTATCAATCTGACTTTTTAACTATCTATCTATTTATCAATCTGATTTTATAACTATCTATCTATTTATCAATCTGACTTTATAACTATCTAACTATTTATCAATCTGACTTTATAACTACCTATCTATCTATCAATCTGACTTTAAAACTATCTAACTAGTCAATCTGAATTTTTAACTATCTATATATTTATCAATCTGACTTTATAACTATCTAACTAGTCAGCAATGTGCCTTTATAACTATCTAACTTTTTAGCATTGTGACTTTATAACTATCTAACTATTTGCCAATCTGACTTTATAACTATCTAACTATTTAGCAATGTGCCTTTATAACCATCTAACTATTTATCAATCTGACTATATAACTATCTAACTATTCAGCAATGTGCCTTTATAACTATCTAACTTTTTAGCAATGTGCCTTTATAACTATCTAAAAATTTGTCAATCTGACTTTATAATTATCTAACTATTTAGCAATGTGCCTTTATAACTATCTAACTAGTTATCAATCTGGCTATATAACTATCCAACTATTCGGCAATGTGCCTTTATAAATATCTAACTTTTTAGCAATGTGCCTTTATAACTATCTAACAATTTGTCAATCTGACTTTATAACTATCTAACTATTTAGCAATGTGCCTTTATAACTATCTAACTTTTTAGCAATGTGCCTTTGTAACTATCTACTAGTTATCAATCTGGCTTTATAACTATCTAATTATTCTGCAATGTGGCCTTTATAACTATCTAACTATTTATCAATTTGACTTTATAACTATCTAATTATTTAGCAATGTGCCTGTATAACTTTCAATCATTAACTATCCGAGTGTATAGCTATCTAACTGCATAACTTTAGAATTTTATAATTATCAAACTATTTAGCAATCTAACTGTATAACTGTAGTAAACGCCTACTTCATAACAGTTTCTCGATTCAGTATCTATCCAGGTATAACTCAGATTCTCTTGACTATCAATGTCAACCCACCGCTGCAATTCCGTATACTATCAACACCACTACCACTGGGGGCAATCTCGTTTGCTATGCGATCTATTGATCAATGTCTCAAACAGGACACGATCAACACGGCTACAATCTCGTGAACTATCGACGCGACTACTACTGGGCACGATCTCGTTTGCTATGTCAACTGAAGAATAGCGACCTATTGATCAATGTCTCAAACAAGACACAATCTCAACTTGTATGTTTCAACAAAAACCAAATTACTCTCAACAAGCGGAACAAGCGGAATTTCTATATCAACTCAATTTATATTTCTTTAGGTAAGATATGAATTGGGTACTTGACAGCGTAGTTACAAGTTCTGTGCTATTATATATATAACGTAGTTAAGCAATCACAATATGGGTATGACGGAGTTATATATATCTATGTACATTGTACATTGAATGGGTTAATCGCAATACATGATTTACGTCTTTACTAATGGGCACATTTATCTATATGGACAATGTACAACCTAATTTGTTATGAGGCTCTATATTTGCTACATCACTATCTAACTGTATAACTATCTGATTGTATAACTAACTATCTAACCATTTAGCTATTTAACCAAGTAACTGTCAAACAAACTTATTTTTCCTAACTTTTCATTGGTTCACAGTTATTTAGAAGTTTTGTTCTACTTTTTAGTTCACCTTCCCTTTCTGGTTCTTTTTCACCACATTTTTGTTCTTATTTTTAATATTGAAAAGCGTGACGTCGAATACCATTTAATGAAGAGTTTTAAGACTAAAACGTTAAAGTGTATTTCGAAATGGCCCGGGCATACTTTGCTCTTATTAGTTTCACGTGGAATATCAGTTTTCTGAACTACTTGTTTATCATTATATTTATCTATTCATCTGTTCATGTGTCTATCTATCTATCTATCTATCTATATATCTATCTATCTATCTATCTATCTATCTATCTATCTGTATCTATCTATCTATCTATGCTATAGTCCTGTAATAACGGTTAGATTACATATATTGATAAGCCGACATTAAACTTACATTAGAATACAGAATCATGCGCAAACCGTCCTCGAGCAGACAACAAATAAATCTTTTTAAATCATGACACTTATTCATATATATATAGTTGTAATCTCTATTTGTCTGTTTGTTTGTTTGTCCGATCATAACTCATGAACCCCTTAACAAATTTTGATTGGGGAACAACGGGAATTTTCTTAGCTTAGTTGTGATTGTCTAAGTTCAGTGGATCAACTTTAAAAGCAAAAATTTAGTTCCCCGATAAAATCGACCCAATGCTGGGAAACGGCGGGAGTAACTATGAGTAACCTGGAAAACGCTGAGTTCCCAAGCTAGTAGATAATTAAATAAAATTAATGCGACATTACAGGTACAACTAGCTGTGTGTCCTTGTAACTCTTCTTGTTTTAATGTTACCCACAAGTATAGAAATAGAAAATTGATTAAAAGTATGTTGCGCGCATGTTAAGAAATTCAAAACATTTATCTGGTTGCATGTTAAGAAATTTAAAACGTTTATCCGGTTGCATGTTAAGAAATTCAAAACAATTATCCGGTTGCATGATAAGAAATTCAAAACAATTATCCAGTTGCATGTTAAGATATTCAAAACAATTATCCAGTTGCATGTTAAGAAATTCAAAACAATTATCCGGTTGCATGTAAAGAAATTCAAACCAATTATCCGGTTGTATGTTAAGAAATTCAAAACAATCAATCAATCATGTGATTAATCAATCATCTAATCAATCAGCCATGTAATACTCGATCAATTAATCAATCAGTCAAGTAATCAATCAAACAATCAATCAATCATTTAATCAATCAATCAATCAAGTTGAAGGTATGTTGACAGGCACTCTTTAGTGTTTAATGTTTCATGCAATCTCTTATTGTTCTCCAACTGTAGCAATCAGTCCGTCAGGCACTAGGCAGGCTTTACTGCCTTATTGTTTACAACTGCCTTAAACTGGAAGGTGTGTTTTGCAATCAAGGGTAGGTGTGGAAGGGATGGGGGTGTCGTAAATTCATAATTATTGACTATATATGTATTGTATTTACTGTTTATCGTGGGTGTTTCATGTCAAAATGAAGTATCTCATAAATAGATTTATTTGATAATTCATTCATTCGCCATTTATCCCCTTCCTTACAGAGGTAGGTTTGTAGATACGCCATTCCTTGATCAAAACCTTTTACTTTTTATCTAATTAATGTATTTACGGGGTTAAAGAGACTGTAAGCGTAATTTGAAATGATTCTCCCTGCAAAGATGACAATACCAGATACTTTCGTTTCTGACTCCATTGCTTCTAATATAAGCAAGGAATGTTCAGTGCACAAGTCACTTTTGCAGTGAAACCGCAAATAAAAATAAAAAGTTATATAAATAAAAAACATGAATATCTAATACCAGTAAGAAGATTGGGATTAATGGAACTTTCAACTGTAAGACCAGAAATGTAGTTTACTGTATTACATGTGAGCAGTGTAAACTACAATATATAGGACAGACAACCTTAGATGAATGAGTGTGAGAACATATTGGTTACACTAGAAATCTCCATACAAACCAGCCTACAGGAGAACATTTTAACCTTCCTGGACATCTAAAAGTTAGAGTTCTAGAGCAGGTTTGGGACATTGGGAGAAGTTTACTTGAAGTATACGAGAATCTAAATACATTAGAGATTTTTATGACTGAACTCAGTGGAATGAACAGAAAAAAATAGTTTTGATTTAATTGTAAACTTTAATTCAGTATTTTATCTTTTTTTAAAAGAGTATAGTTTATGTCAAATTCTTCAAAAGGTTTAAATTATTTGTTTATACCCTATGAACGGCAGACCCAATCAGGTCAAATTTTTGTAGAACCTCACCTGACCCCGGGCCAAAAAAAAGGTTTATATCTGAACGAAATTTCGAAAAAATCTCAACATTTTTCAAATTTATTTAGGCCACCGATGAAAACAGTCCTGTTCGACAAAAAATGGTGCCATCATACTTTTTTTGGACCTTACTTGACCCTGCAGAGTGGAAAAAATTGACTCCAAAAATTTTTGATTTTCGTAAAATTTTGTAAATCCAAGAAAAAAATGTAAATCCGCGAAATTTTTTTCAGCGTTTTATCGAAAAGAAAATGCTGATTTTAATTAAAATTTGAAGTGGTCTGATAGCCTAGTAAGTCTTTATTTCTATATATATCTAGCCTTTATCTGTTGGGTATAATAATCCAAAATTGGCAAAAAACAGTTTAGATTTAACAACCTTCTTTTTTATTCCGTCACTTTAGTTAATGTCTCTATTTAGTTTCAACTTCCTCTACACTTTATATCTTCTTCAAGCCTCAAGCAAAGTTGGTTAAAGAGGCAGGGAGGCAGGGAGGCAGGGAGGGAAGGTAGTTATAAAAGGAGAATTAAAATGATCATAAAATGATTTATTTCAATATTTCATGGTCTCAATTTTATGCTTCAAATTTTTATGCTTTTCTTATCGAGCAGTGTCTAGTATGCAGTGTTCATTGTTCACATGCAGTGTTCATTGTTCACATGCAGTGTTCAATGTGCACATGCAGTGTGCAAAGTGCATTTAGCAATTTTTATTTCAGCTTTATAAATGTAAATTTTAATTTCAGATGACATAATAATATTTATTGTTTAATATTTTATTCTAATACATTATTTTTTGTTAAATGATTGTAGTCCTCCATCTTTCTTCAATAAAGAATTATTGCTAACTATTTTAATTTTTTAAACCAATGTAGGTTTAAAAATGCACAAAACAGATTTTTAGCAATTAATCCGTTACAAATTATAAACTCCTGTGTAAGTTTTTCAAGTAAAAAGAAAATGACGGCAATTTTTCCACTGTTTTCTGAATACCCCTGATATTCCCTATGACGCAGTGAGGTTTTTATTTTTATAAATTAAATTGACCTAGAATGAGCCGTATTTTGATTTCCAATATTTAAATTTATATTTTTAATTCTTTTTCCTTTTCATATTGTTTCATACAACTGTAAAAACGCAGAGGGCCGGTTCTAATTGGAAAAGAATTCTGGTTAAAACTATTAAGTGCGTTTTTTTATAACTGCGTATATGACAAATGACAAATAGGGTTTCCAGTCGAATGAAAAAATCGTTTCGCGAAAATTGTGCATATATTATTTAGAATTTTTTTTGTTTCACCGCAAATTTGCAATTTTGCGCATTCCTTTCGTAGAAAAAAAACGCACGTATTTTTCATGGAATGCGTCGATCTGTTTCGTGGAATGCGTCGATCTGTTTCGTGGAATGCGTCGATCTGTTTCGTGGAATGCGTCGATCTGTTTCGTGGAATGCGTCGATCTGTTTCATATAAATGAATCTACAGGATAATTTAGAAACGATTAATCAAATCCTAAAATGTCAAAAATCATCGGTTTTACGACTAATCTCCCCTTTAAATCATCTTAATGATTCAGACTGCGTTTAATCAACTCTTAAAATAGGGCTTTGACACGCGAGGGAAGGGTTGGACGGGAGGAACTTGTATAAGAAGGAAATTAGAAAAAGAAGGATGGAAAATAGGGAAGATTAAGGGAAAGTTGAAGGGTTCGGGAAGGAGAAAGTAGATAAAGGGAGACCAGGGCAGGATGTAGGGATGAAAGGAAGGGAAGGGATAATGAAAGAAAGGGGATGGGATAATGAAAGAAAGGGGAAGGGATAGAAAGGAAGGGAGGAAGGAAATTTAAAGGAGGGTTAGAATGTAGGGAAGAAAGGGACTGGAAATGAAAAGAAGGGAAGACTGTAGAGAAAAAAGGGCTTGAAAGGGAAAAAAGTTAAGAGTGTAAAAGGAAGAAAGGGCTTGAAAGGGAAAGAAGGTAAGAATGTAGGAAAGAGAGGGACTGGAAAGGAAAAGAAGGGAAAAAAATAGTGAAAAAGAGGCTTGAAAGGGAAAGAAAGTAAGAGTGTAAAAAGAAAAAAGGGGATTGAAAGGAAAAGAAGGTAAGAGTGTAAAAGGAAGAAAGGGCTTGAAAGGAAAAGAAGGTAAGAGTGTAAAAGGAAGAAAGGGCTTGAAAGGAAAAGAAGGTAAGAGTGTAAAAGGAAGAAAGGACTTGAAAGGGAAAGAAGAGAAGAGTGTAAAAGGAAGAAAGGGCTTGAAAGGAAAAGAAGGTAAGAGTGTAAAAGGAAGGAAGGGCTTGAAAGGAAAAGAAGGTAAGAGTGTAAAAGGAAGAAAGGTGGCTTGAAAGGGAAAGAAGGTAAGAGTGTAAAAGGACGAAAGGGCTTGAAAGGGAAAGAAGAGAAGAGTGTACGCACAGAAAAGAAAAGGAAATTATAAACGGAAAAATAAAAATCAAGGAAATAGGAATCATCAAAAGAGATTGATAAATGTTTTTGGTTTAAAACTGAATAATATTTTGAGCAATTTTATTGGTGTGATATGGGATATAAAGTTAAAGTTTATGTTGCGGTGTATAAACAGAGTTGGTAAAAACAGAAAATTAAAATGATTGATTTCCTTTTAATCTGATTTATAACGTTATTCTTTCCACTCAAATTTATCAGATTTTTCAAAAAATGTTGACGCGTGTAGATCATAAATTATAAGAGCTCTTCAAGTGTTTCATGTCTTATTAATTAAGTATAGCTACACTTAAAGGGAGTGTTCGCGAAAAATGAAAGGGGGTATAGGCTTAATGCGATAAAAAAGCGCTTTTGATCGCTACTAATCTTACTTCTATCTGTTACGTCTAAAAGGAGAAAATTGTTAAAAAAGACTCATGCCGAAGAACGTAGCGTCCATACAAATTCAGAAAGATGCAACATTCAACTCGGATCGTAAACAAATCAATTAAATTCCAAACAAATCATTCAGATATTACGAACAGTAGTCATCGATTATTTTTTGACGCATTCGTATATAGTTAATATTTCACAACACTCCCTTTAATATAGAAATGTGAAATTAAAAAAGGACAATACGACTGAGCCAAAATATGTTTGACTGGTCATGGCTTTGCAATATGTCAGTTTTGCACTGCAAAAAGTATATTATTTATTTGTTGATGTGAAATGTCAACGACTTTGTGACCTCATATTACCATCGGTTTTGATTTCACGCACGTTGTAAGAAATTATTCGGTTCCATACTTTTTGTTCTTTTTGATAACTTCTCAAAAAGAGTGGTATTAATTGAACAAGAGAAGATTTTCCACAAACGTGAAATTTACCTTAATTCGATGTTATAAACAAGTTTTAAATTCAATTAATCCTTTCATACGTTCTATCATTCTAACACACTAAAACTTTCTTTTTACTCTTTTATCTTTTTGCCAGCGCGTTATGTTTATCTTTCATTTTTTGGGGGTAAGGGGTATTCGCCATATCATACAGTTTTGCCCGCCACCCCCCCTAGACAATAGTAAATATAATCGCATTCGACCAATGACAACTCTTGAGTTTAGTTCTGTTTAAGAGATTCAACAGTTTTCAACTTGTTCTAATTAAGTCTACTTAACATAATATTTGTGAGTTTAGCCAGGTGCTCCATCTTGAACTAACAGGAACTGAGCAGGAAATTTAAGTGCGTATCGTGGATCGAAACTACCGTTCGTTTCCTTTTTGGGTTCTATGCATTTGCGTAGATTGTAATGTATAAAAATCAGAAAACCAAAAAGTATGTAAAGAAACCACATAAAAAATATCTACAAAACTACCTGACCCCATTCATGAAACCGTGTTTCCGATACTGGGTTTCATGTCGATACTCCGTCTTAAGTTTCGGGTTCTATAGTGTGTATATTCAGAAATTCCAGAGGGATATAATGTGTGGGGGGGGGATATAAACATTATTATTATTGAAAAAGTTCATGCAGCTTATTTTCTATAATCAATTACTTTTTTGGGGAAGAATATTTTTTGCCTTATAAGTGTAACGCTAGAGGTGTAGTTTTTTTATTCTCATAAAAGTACTGTATATGTTATTTCTCTTTCTTGAGAAGTGTTAATTTCTCACAACTTCTTTAATTGTTTCTGCAGCATAAAAGCGCAATTTACCTTGTAGAGAAATTGGAGGGTCGTTTAAATTTACAGCTTGCTGGGGGGGGGTAACAGTGCTCCCCTGAAAAAAAGGAATCATATTTTATTGGCACTTATCCCTTTATTAAAATCTAAGCATATAATCAATAAAAAGACTAATCATAGTCATCAAATTAGAGAATAAAGATATCCTGTTACTCTGTATACTGTATACTGTATACCCTATATCCTTGTTAAATTAATTAGGTTTTTTTTCGGGGGGGGGGGATAACAACGTCTATCTAATCTGAGGTGGAATATTTCAAAACATGTTTTTAGGTCATTTTGGACTCATCCTATTGTTTTACAACAGTACCCTTACAAGATTTGTCTTATCATGAATAAATTAGATATCCAAATTCTCCTTTTTTGTTTATTCTCATTTGTGGTTTTATTGTAAAAAATATTCGCAAATATATTGCTGTAGAAACAATGCCGGAATTATCAGAAATAAAACGTTATCTCCCATCCACATTTTTAAACAGATTAAGGTTTCAATGGTACCCCCTGTCAACCGGACATTCCCCTCTATGGAGGGTAACACCAAGGTTATAATGCAAGGTAAGTTATTTCAGAGGTGTACGCATTTTTTGTACTGCAGTGTACTGTCTTTGGGCGGAAAAGTAAACACAAGACGGATGTCAAAGCCTGACATGGAATCCATTTTCGCAAGAACAATCTATGAAATATTCTGGTCATAGGAAACTATTATGTGAATTTTCAAAATTATCAAAATTAAATGCTTTTAACCTCCTCGGATACCAAACGAACACTGATGCATTTATTCTTGTTTACAAATTCCGCCCAGAGAGAACTGTTTTCATTTAGTACGCAGAGTATACACGACCGCAATTAACTTTCCTTACATTAGGACCTTGGGTACCACTGTGATTAAAAGGTCTCAACCTCTCAAGCAAAAATCGATGAGAATTTTTCCAATTACTTCTTTAAAACCTTAATTAACAACAAGTGCTTTATTATAAAATGTACATGTAAAGGGCTACAGAAAAGCATTTGTGAGTTAGAGCGGTATAAATCAAAGCCCATGGTCTTGCGACATTTCAAAGTCGACCTTGTCTTTAAATGATAAATATATAGCAAGATTCATTGACAACAGCTAAATTGACTGAGGTGTCTGTATTGAGGTATTCGATTTCATTTTGGTCAATAACTTAAGCTGATAGAGTAGTCCAAACGATTAAATCATTATGGGAAAATAAAATGGCG